CCATTTGTCCGTGTATGATCTCAGACCCTGGCCTTTTCTTCCGTGTCCAAGGCCAGGGCTTTCACACCACTGATGCATGTTGAGGGCGTTTCGTTGGAGTCTGAGTCAGGTCAGAGTCAGTCCATGTGTATCAAGTCTTCCGCTGTATTTGTATCTACTCTGTATTATCTGGTCGGTTCTGGGAATCTGCGCCATACTTATGACTGTGTTTCAGGAGTATGCAACAGTGTATGTGTGTGGTGTGAATTCAAGGATGCTACAGCCCTGGAGGTGGGATGGATGTCAAGACCGGTATGGATCCAGTTTTTATAACACATCCAAGGGTTGTAGTGGTTACGGGACTTCGTTCTTGAGGCTGAGCCGCTGAGGGTGCCGGTTCCAGGCCGTGCGTGCACGGCGGGGATGTGCTAAACGCACGTTGTTCAGTAACTACCGGTGCAGCAAAGCCAATTTGGCAAAAACTGACATGGCCCTGTGTGAAAGCCGATTGTTGTTGCAGCAGAATAGTTTGGTGGGTTGAGTCCTTCACCAACAATCATTGGCTTTTGCACAGGGGCAGTGATGACATGAGAGGTGATAGACTGTTCGGCTATGGCCCCTTTGAGAAGTGGGAAGGGGAAAAGAGATTTGGCGGGTTGTTTTCTTTGTTTGTGTTTGTTTTCCATGTATTTTGACGACACTCATTCTTTTTTTTTCTTTTTTTTTTTGGATTTTGACGAAACTTGACCTGTCGGTTAGTATAAACTCCGGCATCCTGTTGGGCGTCACCTCTCTGATTTCGCTCGTAATGATTACGGGAGCACAAGTGTTCTACACAGATTGCGCTAGTAATCATACGAGTTGGAAGCGTGATTACGCAAGAGCGAGGACGCTGAGGAGAAGTTGGTCAGACCGTCAGAGTCATGGGAGAGGACAGCAGCGCCTGAAGAGCCTGTGGCAACAGGCGAAGTGCGTCTGGATTTCGCGTTTCTGAAGTTTATATTGACCGAGAGTCGTGTTGTCTACCCTTGGAGTGTTGATTTCAATTTAGAAATGCGACACTCCAGCCACCCGAAAACTGGTGTACGTGCTTTCAAGAGTGACGTGAGTCTCGTGTGTATGCTGTTCTACTTGCTTGCTGTATGTGTTGGCGTCTTGGCATCCATATCCATGTAATAACATATGTGGTTAATACTGGTTACATGTATATTGATTGGTACTTCGCCAGGGTCTGTGTGCGATTGTCACAGGGAATTAAACTCGCGATCTCAGTCATAACAGCAATGTGTCTTAGGGCCTTGCGACAAAAAACAGGAAATAAAATGGTAGTGCATGATTCCCACAGAAGAAGGGAATACATCTGTTACTATGATTAGAAACGGACTCATCTTGCCACCTTCTGTGGCAAGATGCATCTTTCTTTCTTTCTTTCTTCTTCTTTCTTCTTCATCTTTCTTCTTTCTTCTTTCTTCTTTCTTCTTTCTTCTTCTTCTTCTTCTTCTTCTTCTTTCTTCTTCTTCTTTCTTCCTTCTTCTTTCTTCCTTCTTCTTTTCTTTCTTCTTTCCTCTTCTTCTTCTTCTTCTTCTTCTTCTTCTTCTTCTTCTTCTTCTTCTTCTTCCCGTTTTGTGCCTTGTGTTGTGAGGCGCTTAAGCATTGCGAATCCCTATGAAGAAGTTCATTGATTCAAAAGTGGAGAAGCTGTATAGAGCACGACATCTACCTCACCTCTGCACGGTTAACGGTATCGCTCACTCATGCACTCGACACCCTCGGCATACATCACGGCGAGGCCAAAAATATCCATCTTTGTATAGAGCATGACTGACATCTACCTCACCTCTGCACGGTCAATGGTATCGCTCACTCATGCACTCGCCAACGCCGGCATACATCGAGACCTGGCCAAAAAAATCCATCTTCGGGACCCTTGTGGACGTGGTTAAAAGTAACCGCCTCCTTGGAGGGAATGTGGTGGAAAATTCGCTGGAAATGCTTTTCCGGGAGCGGGTGAGGAGGGGTTGGGAAGGGGAGGCCTGGAGGATCAAAGATAATGGCACGGTAAAATTCAGAACAGTAAAACAGTAAAAGCAAGATGTTCAAAGGGGGGATTCCGAAAAAGAAAGCTGACAAAGGAAAAAGAGTGTTTCACCTCACGTTGATGGCCTTGGATGTTGCAGATATCTGTTTGCTTGTTTTCTGTTGTTGACATGAATAAAACTTTTTTGCATCAATTTAACATTTGAGAAGGTGTCTTGCCCCTGTGTCCGTTGTTGCTGAATGTGGTCACCGTGTTATGGAAGATGCCTTCGACATTCACTTTCCCGGGCAGCCCCTTGTTGACTCCATCGAGAGATGCAGAAAAGCACAGGTATGGTCATTATTTCTTTGTTGGTTGTTGAACTTGTTGTTGTTGTTGTGGTTCTCGTTATTGTTTGTTGTTGTTCATTGTCGTGGTTTGTTGTCGATTGTTTTTTGTTGTCGTTTGTTGTTGTTGTGCTGGTGGTGGTTGGGGCATTGGGATTGTGGTTGTGGTGGTTGCGGTTGGTGTGGTGGTTGTGGTGGTGGTGGTGGTTGTGGTTGTGTTGGTGGTTGTGTTGGTGGTTGTAGTGGCGGTTGTAGTGGTGGTTGTAGTGGTGGTGGTATTGTTGTTGTTGCTGTTGC